TGTTCTGTGCTGTGAATTAGCTCCAATTTACCCCTAAAAGTCTTCTCAGAGCCCAGTAAGCAGTGGAATTACTGGTAATGCTGCTAAACAACATTGACCTCCTGCAGCTCGGCAAATTCTCTGGTTCAGCACCAGTCAGGTCCTGAGGATGCCAGACAAGAGCAGTTCAACTACTTGTATGGCCCTGAGGCTGTCACATGGACCACAGCTGTGTGCTGATTGGGCCATAAGTTGCCTGCGGGTTGAGAATCACTGACCTAAAGGTACAGTTGTGATCAGGGCTAAGCTATGCCAGGTTTACCTGGTGTGTTACAGCAAGATGTAAAAAGGACAGCCCTGCAGCCTAATCGTGTGAGAGGCTGTATGCTATGAACTCACATTGTCCTCACTGGGAATTGAAGCCATACAGTGGGAGTTGAGGTTGTTTACACTGGTTTTGCAGGTATGTGAATCTGGCTCCCTGTTGAGGGATAAATTAGGATTTCACACACTAAATTCCATGGGAGACGGTTTTTGTTTTTTTTGGTTAAGGTGTCATATGCTTCTAGTGTTCTAGTCTCCAACTTGAACAGCTGGACACTGATCCTGCAACCACTCACACACATGGGTAGTCGTGTTATGCACGACTCAGACATAAGTGTAAATATTGGCAGAATCCAGGCTTTACTGTATAAGCCCTTTGGGGAAGAACTGCATCTTTGCATGAGTCTGTCTAGTGGTTAGCACAACACGGGTCCTGGAAGCTATCACAATATGAATATTACATGCCATAAAGTGCTAAGGCTAGATTGCGGTTTCAGACGCAGAGGGGAATATCCAGAGTGGTCTAATGTAAGCCTTTTCTGTTGATGTCCTTGGAATCAGAATCTAGCCCGTAAGCCCCTATTTTTATTTGACAATGGTCTATCTAGCAATGACACACTTGGTCCTAGAGATATATGGCTTTAAGTGAGGAGTAACTAATAGGTACTGATACCCTTTTGAGCAGGAAGGATCCAACTTTCATGTTAAAATTCCCAGACATTAACTTTGAGAAGATGGAAGTATTAAAAATACAAAATGCTTTACATATGATCTCTCTGAATACAATCAGCGGATACTCCTCTAACACACATTTTACATCAGCACAGTGATGCTGAGTTCGCCTACATTATCTCTGTTAAAGGCCTTCTTTCAGCTCTTCCTGAAGTTAGTGGAAAGACTCAGGTCAGGTCTATTCTATGGGAGAAAGTCAACCTAAGATATGCAACTCCAGGTATGAGCATAGTGTAGCTGGAGTTGACATGCCTTAGGGCGAATTTCTGCAGCGTCCCCACTGTGGGAGGTCAATGGGAGAAACTCTTCCCTTACTCCTTGTAACCTGATGGAGTACCAGGCTCAACGGGGCTGCCGCCAGTGTTAGCAGGTTCTTACAAGTGTTGCTGATTTAGTGCCTAACGGGTTGCTTAATTAGTTGTCCATGTTCACTGTCTGGAACTTGGCTTCTCTATCTTCTCCTACATTGAAAATTTATTTCATGGTTTGCAAGTGTTCTGCTAGCCTGCTCGCTTCCCTTCCGTCACCAACGGGACACGCAACCTGGATCAAATGAAAACGCAACATACTGTCTTTTAGCACAGATGTGCAAGGTCTGCAAAGTCCAAGGCAAGAAGTGTCGAGGAGTCCTGTGGCACCTTATAGACTAACCGAAGTCTATAAGGTGCCACAGGACTCCTCACCGCTTTTGCAGATTCACACTAACACGGCTACCCCTCTGATACTAGGCAAGAAGTGGACTCACAAATGTCTACATGATCTAGCTACCGGAAGGAGACAGAGTGACAGACGCTACCATGTAGCCATGCACTGGTTTAGAAACCCTGATTAAAACACCCTTGTAGTTTCTGTAAAGGAGAAAAGGCTCCTCCAACTTCAGAGGGAGTTGGATCTGCTCCCTCAGGCATAGTAAATGAGAAACAAATCTGGCTCCATCTTTTTTTCCCCCTCTCCAGTGTTTTCCTGCTTGCTTTTCAATCCTTATTTTTATGTCTTCTCTTGAATATGTCCCAGAGGAATTCACATTCTCAATATCCATGTTGTGTGCCACGCTGTTTTATTTTCTAGAAAATTAAAACGTTTTGGCTGGCTACCTTGGGCTAAACATACTGAATGGTGCAATATGTGAGCACTGATGCACTGGGTTTAAAAGCCTTTAGAAAATCCATCTAATAGCCAGCCAGTTTCCCACTCACTACAAGTCGGTTTTACTACAGGTTGAACCTCTCTAATCCGGCACTCTCTGCTCCAGCACATCCATGATCCGGCGTGATTTTAGTGAGCCAGATGTTGTTAACGGTTCTAAATTCAAATCCCGGGCTTCATTTGCAAGTGCGGTATGCCTACATTACCCTCCTAGTTCGAACTAGGAGGGTAATGTAGGCATACCGCACTCGGCGGATGTTAATGTCTGTGAGCTAATGATATTAGAGGTGATAATTGGGGAAGCTATCTTTGTAATGGGTAAGGTCTTAGCAGATTTTCTGGTTTGGCACCGGTCAGGACCTGAGGGTGCCGGACTAGAAAAGTTAAACCTGTATCTGAATTTTTTGAAATCCTATAACCAAGAGTTGCTAGTCCTTCCTGGTTCACCCTAACCTTCCTTAAACAAAAGACAGGACTGTGTAGCACTTTAGAGACTAACAAGATGGTTTATTAGGTGATGAGCTTTCGTGGGCCAGACCCACTTTCTCAGATCAAATTGTGGAAGAAAATTGGCACGACGATATATACCAAAGGGATACAATCAAAAAAAGTGAACATATATAAAAAGGACAAATCAAATTTCAGAACAGAGGGGGGGATGAGCGGCGGATGTTAATGTCTGTGAGCTAATGATATTAGAGGTGATAATTGGGGAAGCTATCTTTGTAATGGGTAAGGTAATTAGCATCTTTGTTGAGACCCAGTTGTAAAGTGTCTAATCTTCCTTGTGATTAAAAATAATACACACACCTCTTGGCATAGTTAGGCTTGAGAAAAGAAGACTGAGCAGGTAACTGAGAATCATCATATATGTTAAGGAGTGTTATAAAGATTGTGAGTTGTTCTCCATGTCCACTTGAAGGTAGGACAAGAAGTAATGGGCTTAATCCGTAGAGCCCTGCATGGAAACAAATGTCTGCCCGTAGATGTGTGTATCTGTGGATAAACATCTGTATCTGCAGCATTCTACTCCCAATGGACACCGTGACCAGCGGAAAGGAACGAGGTCCTGTTGCAACCCCGCATTGGTAGCTCCTCCTGGCCATGCAGCGGTACCGCTTCCAGTCCTGCCTTCAGCCACGGCATCTCCTGTCTGGGATTGAACAGCTCCGCTAGAGGAGTAGCTGGAGTGCTACAAATGCACAACCAGGAGGAGCTACCAGTGCTAACTCCTGAAAGCAATGGGCCCATGCCCCTCTCCATTGGCTGCAGTGCCTCTTGGGATTAGAGCCCTGCGAATCTGCCGATCCCGATGTCTATTCACCCATATCCAGATCCGTGGGTAAGCATTTGTAGCCACACAGAGCGCTATTAATTCACAGCAAGGAAGATTTCAGTTCAGTGTTAGACAGTCTGTCGAACAATAAAGGTAGCTGTGGAATAGGTTTCCAAAGGAGGTTGTGCAATACTCATCTTGGGAGATTTTTTTAAGAACAAGAGTGACACACCTGTCTCAGGATTTGTTTAGGTTTTCCTAGCCCTGCCTCACCATAAGACCTGTTGACTTCTTGAGGTCCCTTCCAGCCCTGCATTTCTGTGATTTTTATCAGAACAGCCTGGAATGAGATTTGGCAAAAGGAGAAAGAGAGAAATGTATAAGAAATGTTTTAATAAAAGGGTGTTTATAAGCCTTCAGTAATACCACAGGGATGTTTAGGAGACCAATCTGGACTAACCACTGTATAAACATAGACACACGTCCTGCCCCTTCAGCTTGCTTATCATACTTTTCTTAGTGCTTCATGAGATACACACATACCTCTGTTTCACAGAGACACTCAGCTCAACACATGTGAACAGCGAGACTGGTATTCCCTGCTACCAGCAACACTGTAAGCACCGTCCCTCTTTGAGGGAATTTAGTCAGAGCAATAAAGTGACTTGCACAAGACAGAGTGAGAATTACACCACAGGTTCCTCACACCCTGTCCTCTGCTCAGGTCGTTAGGCCGTGTATCTCTGTCCATGCAACATGGAGGTATAGAGTTAATGAGATAAATTAGTGCCTGGAACAGGTAGCTGCGATCCTTTTTTGAAACCAAGGGAGATGAGTCTTCTCCTAGGTTGATTTTGGCTTTTTATGCTTTTGTTCAATACAGGCACTTCTTTCCCCAGCCTCCACCTCCCCCCCAAAATTGAAGATCAGCCATGCTGATTGAACAATGTATCTTCCTCTTCACCCTGGCTGACGGGCCTGATTCCAAGCCACTCCCACTCAACATCCCTGAAACAAGGAGAAAAAATTACCTATTTTTCATGAGAGAGACTACACCTCTGATGGATGCTCTGGCTGTATCTGAAGAGTAGAATAAACCTTGGAGTTTGTCGGATATGTGCTCCCAGGGACAGTGGCTTTACGTTTGCATGCTGAAGTCTCACAACTGCAGTACAAATCATGTGTAGCTCCATTTCAAGCAGGATTTCAACCTATACGTCTAATTACACCCAGGGTTTACTCCTTCCAGCTTTTTCAGGCATACTGGGAAGTGAGGATATTAAAAGATTTAGGAGCTAATCCAGCAAAGACTTAACGGTGTGCTTAATTTTAAGCACAGGACTATTCCTTTGCACTACTCATGTGCCAAAGTACTTTGCTAGATCAGGGCCTGAGTGAAACAAATGTAAAGACCTTTGAGTAAGTGCCTGATATTAACCATGCCTTTTTTTCTGTGCGTACCAGCCGAAACTCTAGAGGATGGATTGGGACTCTCTTAATGCACTCACCATCTCCTCTCCGTCAACGAACGTGTCTTTGACAGGTTGTGATAGCGACCACTGGGGACCACACTGTAGCAACCGCTGCCAATGCCAGAACGAAGCTCTCTGCAACCCGATCACCGGAGCCTGTGTCTGCGCCGATGGGTACAAAGGATGGCGCTGTGAAGAGTTCTGCGACTCTGGGACGTACGGGAAGGGCTGCCAATTTAAATGCCAATGCCACAACGGAGCAACCTGTGACCACAAAACGGGAGAGTGTCATTGTGCTCCTGGATACACAGGGGTCTTGTAAGTTCAGCGACTGGCATATTTTACTGTGCTTTGATGCCTCTCAGTGCGAGGCATGCTTGATAAAATGTGCTTGACAATTGTACTTTTTACTCTCTAGGAGTCAGGTAGCAGGGCTCATGGGAGACCGAACAAAAGAGCACTGTTTATCCCAGCTAATTACAGCTGTCAACACATGGAAATCAAATTTAGTCTTGAGAGAGATTAAAAATTCACATTTACCTGCAAGTAAAATTACTGTCACTATGGTCTGACAATAAGAATCAAACCATAGTTCTGTTCTTGCAAGCAGTCAGATACACACATTGAGTGATCCAATGCAGTACCAAATGGGACTCTTTCTCCGTCTTATCTGACTTTCCATATAGCTGAGGAAGAATTAAAGATAACTCTATCAGCTTAGTATCTAGGGGGCACATTTCTAGCTCTGTGACTGCCATTAACTGTAATGAGAATCATCTAGCTAAATCCCCATATCCCACCCTGGAAGTTTACGAGTGAGAGTCACCAAATCTGCATATTAATTTTAGGACAGCTGAGCAGTAGCTTCTTTAAAATTGCCCACGGTGTAACGTCAGCTCTCATTAGAGAGCTTGCGATAGTTTCAGAAGTAATTATCCTTTTCAAAATTATTTATAGGAAACAGGCGAATTTTCCGGAGGGGAGGGTTATTTTGTTCATTGAGGCCTGCTTACGGCTTTTTGAAAATCTCTGACAAATGTCCTATTTTTTTTGTAGGCAAGGTAGTTGTAGCTGTGTTGGTCCCAGGATATTCGAGATAAGGGAGGTGAGGTAATATCTGTTTCTGGACCGCCCTCTATTGGTGGGGGAGACAAGCTTTTGAGCTATTTCTGTCCCATTGATAATGATGCAGACCTTATGAAGAGCTCCTTGGTCTCTTTCACCAACAGAAGTTGGCCCCGTAAATAATATTACTTTTTTTTTTGTAATTGTTTTTGGGTAGTCTAGCTCAGTTTGTTGGCCAGCATGGAGGAAAGAATATAACAAAGGATAGAAAATAACAAAGATATTAACTTGCACTAATCGGGCCCGCTGACAGGTAGGGGCGTGGCAATTCAAAGGGGCCTTGGTCTCCCAACTACTGCTACTGCAGGTGCAGAAGTGGCCAGAGTTCATGGCCCTTTAAATTGCTGCTGGAGCCCCATGCAGCGTGCTGCAGAGCCCTGGTGGCACTGATAGGGGGCAGCGCAGTCCAGGTCTGCAGCTTTATCCCCACCCCTCCACCTGAGGCCCCACCCCTTCCGGGAGCACTGAGCCAGCCCTCACCCCCACCTTGCCCAAGGGCTCGCTTGTTACCGGTACGTTGTATACCTTTAAATATTTTATTATCTGCCTCGCAGCATTGTGAACTGAATCTTGTAAGCACTAATTACCAGTGGTTGGGATTGCTGTTAAGTGCTCCCATTGACACTGATGCCTCCACTTCCAGCTGCAAAGTGTTTGCAGGATCAGCAACTCGTATGTCGCTCGAGCCTCTCCGTGTGGGGGAATAGTCTGTGGGTCGCTTGTGAAGAGCCTGATCTGTTACAATGAGTAATACGAGCAAGAAGCAGCCAACTGTGCACCCAGGTGCAGAGAGCGAGCGCAAAGCCTCTCCGGGTCACTGCAGTATCAGGAAAGCCATGCGGTCTTCGCATGGACCTCCGGGGGCATTGGCTGGGAGTTCCAGGGCTCAGGTGGCCTTATGCTTGCCCTCTGCACGGGGGCGGGGGGGATTTCATGTGACATTTGGCAATAATTTTGGAGCAACAAAACACTTCATGTTTTTCAGCCTTTTAACCCCTGCCATTTTATTTGGTGTGCTGCTTGGTTTATGACTGCGTCACGTTGTGAAGCTTTAAAGGCTTCAACCTGCAGCCCGCATGCACATGCGTTGTCATTGCTCATGGGACCAGGTGGACTGAGGTTGGTGGGATTTCCTACCTGAGTAAAGACTGTGAACTAGCCAGGCCGGGCTGCCTCCTCAGAACACTAACGCAGTCTCTCATAGGAGCATCAGTGTTGGAGATCTCAATTCATTGACTTTTACTGTTGTCATCACTAAATCACCGAGCGCTGCGCGGATACAAAATGTTGTATCTGCAAAAATGAGCTGCGGAGATCTGCTTTTGTATCGCCGACAGGGAGAATCGAACCTGGGACCTCTGGAGCTTAGTGCACAAGCCTCCACTGCATGAGCTAAAAGTCAGCTGGCTAAGAGCTAAGGCTGTAGAGAAGACTCATTATTCTCTGTAATTGGTCTCGGTGCCGGGAGATGGGACAGGACACAAAAGCTAAGGTTGTAGAGCAGACTCATTATTCTCTGTAATTGGTCTCGGTGCCGGGAGATGGGACAGGACACCACACCCAGAAGGTGTGTGGGTTACACATTTGCATCCGCAGATGTGGGTACCCATGACAATAAAGCAGATAGCCATAGATTTGCAGGACTCTACAGAATGAAACCCACTTGAGCTCCCATGATGATCTGTGGTGTGGCTTTGGCCAGTTTCCTAATGAGGTTTGCTTTTAAAGTGTTCACTTGTGTTTTGTCCCCTCTCTCTCCCCCCACTTGCCTTCCACCAAGCTGTGAAGAGCACTGTCCTCCCGGCAGTCACGGAGCTCAGTGTGAATTGCGCTGTCCATGCCAGAATGGGGGAGTCTGCCACCATATCACCGGAGAGTGCTCCTGTCCGCCTGGATGGACGGTATGTAACAAGTTCCTACGCACCGCACCTGTAGAGCTTTGCTTAGGGTTAGTGTCCGAGTCTTACTGAGTATTTTAGACATGTGCGTCTGTCCATCTGTGAGTCCGTTGGTTCAAGAACTCCTCCTATGCAGTAAGAGCTAGGACCACCAAATTTGGGATGCAGCTTCTTCTTATCATTAGAGCAAAGGCAGGGTTTGTTTGTGCCAGGACAATGGGATGTACCTGGAATTTGATTGTTTCTCATAAAATGGAAAGCGAGGGGTCTGGCAGGAGGGAATGACCACAGAGGGCAGCAAGGGGACAGACATGATGACGGAGACAGCTATAACCCCATTGGGCCAGCAGGGGGCAGGGGCAGAGAAAGACACAACTGTTTACTATATATTTCAAAGAGTTCGTGTGTCTGTCTGTATGTCTGTCTCTCCTCCAGCTGGGGGACATGACTGTCCCCTGGCTGTGCCAGCTGCAGTGGCCACGGACAGGTACTTCTCACCTGGCCCCAAGCTACTGTGGTGAGAGAGGCTGCAGTTATCCTATATCCCCGGAGTAGCCTGCATCTTGAATCCCTCATCCCCAGCCCCACCCAGAATAATGATTTAAATGAAGAAAAACAAAACTTATTTGAGTTAAGGACCTGAGCAACACCGGGTAAATCTTCTGGTCTATTATAACTTACTGATTTATGTCACTACCTTGGGTTCCCTCTGTCTGCTTTAAGTATCCTCCTGCTGTCTCTGGTCGTATGCTTGACTCTAAACCCATTGCAGACATTGATTGCAAAGGCATTGCCTGCCTTTTCATTTCTGTGGGACC